ATTTCCAAGGGAAAAGGGGAAAGAGCGAAATAAAACCCTAAATATGCAATGTAAAATAATACTTTCTAGAAGTAATAAAAATACAAGGCGTTTTTGAAAAAAGATCTATGGTTCGGGGGTTGGTTATACAATGGGAAGGTATTAGCACCCAATGTATCTATAGTACTCTATAGGAACCTTTTGAAATATCTGTTTATAAAAAATTCGTTTGTTCGAAATAAATTGTTTTGGCCGAAAAAGGGGTACGGACGGGTTTTTGAAGGTACGACGACCTAATGTCGAAGTTTTGACTTAAAAGGTATAAGTTTTGAAAAGATTGAATATTTGGGGAAAAATTATCTTAAGCTTTAATGAAATGCAAAATATTCGCGTGATCGGACTTGAGGACATGAAGTCAACAAATTTAATCGTTTTTCCCTTGGATTTAGGCGTAAACGGAATAAACAAGTAAAGACGAAATAATTAAACAGAAAATTAGATAGATAAATGATATACAATAATTAAATAAAAGACTAAATGATATGAACATGCATTTTTTAGATTTGTTTAATATTAAGGAAAAGAAAATGTTTTAATAGTTTTCATTTTTATGCATTTTTTAATATGGACAAAGCATGAGAATTAAAGAAAAGAAAATAAAATGTTTTTAATGCTTTTATTTTTTATATGTTTCTATTTTTTTATAGGTATTTTTGGTATTAATATAAAGTATTACTTAAAAATTATTAAATAATTCTAAACTAGATTAAAACCTTAAAAGCTATTAACTTAAATCTAATTAAAAAGGAATACTAAAATTGTTAAATTAAACCTAAGGTTAAACTTAATAAAAATTGGTCAAATATTAAAATTATCTAATTAGGTTACACATCTATTATTTGATTAACTTACTAATTAACTAAACTAATAATAATCTAAAAAAACTAATAGGAAGTAAAATGAAAGGAATGGTGTATTAGAAATAGGGGGTTAAGTAAACAAATGTTGCATGGGCTAAAAGGTCTCAAAGGGGCCCAATCAGAAAAACAAACAGAAATAAAGGGGGGTGTGCTGTAGAATCGTTTGGGCTTTAGGCAGGAAACGAGTTTAGTCCAAATGTTCCATAACTTGTTTTTTTCTTAAGGGTTAAACGTTGTATTAGTTTGTATTAGGGATTAGGGTTAAACATATGTGCAGAGCGGCGCTCATCTTCTCATGACGGATTCGCCTTCGTCTTCTTCGCGTGTTCCCTACCTTCGCCTAAGTTCCTTGCCACGGCCACCAGCATCCTCCACCTTCTTCTTCCCTCCAACGAGAAAGCTAGGGGGCGACGGATTCACGGTACAATTTCGTTTTCATTTCGTTAGGTTTTCATTGCTGCATGTTGTGATTTTGTGTTCATTTTTGCTTCTGACTTCAAATTATTATTGGTTGTTTGAGGTACTTTGAAAGAAAAAGAGCGTGAAATGTTACCTGGAGATGGAGGAGGGAGGTTGGGTGTGCGTAGGAGGCCAAGGGCGGGGGAAGACGGCAGAGGCGTGATAGCTACTTTGACCCTGGTACTCTGTATTTGTATCTTTCTTCTTCTTCCTTTGGTTTGCTTCTGTATGCTTTTTAATGGCCAATGATGAACATATCTGAGGCCTTTGTGGGTTTGGACATTTGGTTGATAAGTTATGTTGTTCTGGTTTTTTTCTGGTTGGATTGGCCGTGGTTTAAAATTTTGGTGATGGCTATATTGGTTGTGTTTTGGTGTTATACTGGTTTACGCAGGTTGATGGAAACTGGTTTATGTTATTATGGCCTAAGCTTTGAAATGGTTATTGTTTTGCTGAGCAACAGTTTTGACATGATTTTTGCTGCTTCAAAAACTTAAGCAGGTTTGGCCTTTGATAGGCAACAGGTTTTACTTTGAGACTTTTTGTATTGTGTTTGACAAATTTTTTGGGTTTTGAAGGCTTGAAGATAGGTTGAACTCTCTGAATTTTTGAAGGGGGTTTGTTGTTGTGTTATATCAGTTGGTCTTTCTTGGCCTCTGAGGTTTACGTTACAGGTTGTATATTTTAATATATTCTGCCTTTGACCTCTGCACATATGCTGCTTCATCCAGTTTGTTGGTATTCTTTTCTATGCTTTCTTTTCTTCACTGTGTTACTGCTGTTCTGTTTGCTATCTATTTCTTGCCTAAGCCAAAACCTGTAACCACACTCTTCCTCTCTTCTCTCTCTCTCAAGTACAAATGAAACACCAAAATGTTGTTATGTACTTACTTGTTCTGAAAAAGTATAATGCTGGAAAATGATGAAAAAGGAAAATGTATTGCTTGCATATTTGGTTTAAACTGCATGCTCTCTTTGTCTTTGCATGGTACAGCAAGGAGTCTTATTTTTTTGGCCTCTTCCCCCATGTTTGGCAATTTACGTTGGAATTGGCTTTTGTGTTGAAAATTTGCATATGCTGTTGAGCTGTGTATATTTTTTGAAATATGTAGTTTTTTGACAAAAAGAATTTATGCATATTTGAAATATGCAGTTGGCTTTTAAAAACGTGCAATTGATTTGAAAAATGCAGTTTTGACAAAAAATGAATTTGTGCATATTTAAATTTGTGCATTCATTTTTATCAATAAAATTCATTCCTTTTTGTGAACCGGGAGAAATCCCGTGATTTGCAAAAAGAGTAAAAAACTGATTCCAGCCGTTTGCTTTTAATGATGAACACTAAAATTAATTTTCTTTGCTTTTAATTATTCATTTCTGACTTTTTTTTGTTTTAATTCTTTGCAGGTAAAATTAAATGAGCAATCAAAGAAGTATTGGTTAGAAGATGAAGATTTAGAACTTAGGAAAAAAAATTAGGATAGCTTTTATTTCATTTTAAACTTTGTAAAAATTATTATTGTAAATACGTTGTAAAAAAATACGGTATTTACACAACAATTGTAACAATTAGAATAAAATGAATAAAATTCTATTATTTTCCAGTTAATTATTTTCTTCTTTGCAATTATTTGTTTTATCATTTATAATTCTTTAAATTATATAATAACTGAAAAATCAATTCCAATTATTTAAATTTAGAATGATAAATAATTAAACAAACATCCTTGACCAATTAACTTCTCTTCAATTAATTATTTCATTATTTATAATTCTTCTAAATTATAATAACTAAAAATAAAATTTCAATTATTTAAACCTAGAACAATAAATAATTAAATAACATCGTTTAATCAATTAATAACCTTAGCGTTCAAAAAATAAACAGCTCTCGACTTGAAAAAGTTATAAATTTTAAAATCAATAGATCAAAACGCTTGCAATGTAATGATGCAGATGGGAGATGGTATCTTAGGTCAAAATTTGGGGTACAACACCTAGTGCATGTTTTCCTTGAAGAAATAGGTTGAAATGGTGACCAAGGATTCCATAAGATAGGTCTCCTGATCGAAGATTTAAAAGAGGAACTCCCTGGTGGTGGTGGGGGTACAACCCCTTACGATAATATTGACGAAATTGCCATTGTTGATGCAGCAGCGGTAGATGTCCCTATAGGATACAAAATTGTTGCATTCTCACTCGTCGATTCGACTGGTGTTTCTACTACGTTTTATGCATTATTCTATGGTAGGTTAGAAGTGTTGTTGTTTCCATATTTGGGCGTGTCATTTCAGGAAGAAATCTTTCACTTCTTAAATTCATGCATAAACAAACATTGCAACCATTTTATGCAGAAAAAAATCACAACAAAGAAACACAAAAATTTGTAAAACATACTTTTGAAAAAATTTAGCATAATGTCTCTCTGCGCCTGCCAATTTGTTTATTGCGAAACTTGTTAAATAATCGATAGTCTAGTTTCTAAAGTTTACTTGTAGGATCGACTAGTAAATCCTAGAACATAGTGCATAAATTCTTTTAAATTTTGTGCAAATTAGTGAAAAAAATGAAGGATTTCGATGTAGGCGTAAGTTTGGTATGAAAATAAGATAAACGAAAGTAAAATTATCGGGAATGTAAAGGACTTCGACAGTGGTCGAAATTACGATAAACTGAAAGTAAATAAACTATACTACAAAAATAAATATAAAATAAAAGACTTCGCATTAAGTAAATTTGGTATTTGGAATCATACATTTCATTTAATTGACTTGTTTTTGCTTCGTTTGGGTATTTTGAATTTTATGAGTTTTTTTTAGTAAATTGAACACCCATAATTCTAATGCTAAAATCTAAATTTATAATAACACAAAATAATTGCTATTAACAGTCATTTTTATGATTATTGACACGTTTTTCATTGCATGAACGTCGCTTCCAAACTCGCTTCTACACGTCCCCCAATGCAAATAAGGCCAAAAAGAAGTTATTCGGACACACCGTACATTTCAACCATCTTCATCATTAATAGCATAAGGACTTCTACATTTTCCACTTGCATGGTCATGTCGAACTGTCTTCAACAGTTCTGTCAAAATACTTAGAAAAAAAAACGAAATTTGACTAAGTATTCTTTCAAACTCTTCTTGATATGTTGAGATTTGAGAATATCGACAACCCCAACTAATAGGTGGACTTGCCATTTCCCACATTCCTTTGGAAACCCTTAGTAAACATTCATAATTTGCTTGAGTAAGTACCAAAGAGGAAACTTCCATTTTATCATGACGAAAAAGATATAAAACTAGTCAAACTCCCACTACTAACTGATAGGACCACACGAGCCTCATATCAAGCTGAAAGAATATCAATCCAAATGCCACCATAATATAACAATATCCATCTCCACTTACTTAGGAATTCCATGTTAATCAAACACAACTTAATAAGTATGTATATTATTTTTAGTAGTTTTAACATGGTTGAGTTATATAACATAGAAAAATAAATAAAGAATTCGAGTTTATCAAAATAATTAGAAAAATGAAATAGTACTTAGCATTTATTTAAACATGATAATAAGCGTGGTACAATCTAATGGTATTGGTGTCTTCTTTTATTATACATACTTCCTATGCATATTTAATTTTTATGGATGTTCCAAAGCCCTACTTGTCCACGCCCTCCACCATTTATGCCTCCAGATCCTTTGTTTGTTCCTCTTGTCCAAACAGGTCCTTTGTTTTCTAGATATTCTCCTCTAATTCTATTGTTTTCTCCTCTTCTCCAATTTTCTTCATTTTCTCTTCCCCCTTGTCCCCCAAGCCCTATATTTTCTCCTTCTCCCCAACTTATTTCCTTTTCTCGTCCGCGCCCTCCTCCTCCTCCTCCTCCTCCTCCTCCTCCTCCTCCTCCTCCTCCTCCTCCTCCTCCTGAGACTCCCTCATTTTTTATCCAACCTTTCCAACCTGCATGTTCTAACCAAGCTCCCCAACCACCTCCGTCATTTATCCAAAATCCCCATTCTCCATCTTCATGTCCTTTTCCTTGGTGTCCATCGTGCCCACCTCCCGAGCCTGCATCCTTATTTACTGCAACTTTTGTTTTTGACATATCAAAAGCATTAGCTGCAAAAAAAAAAATAATAACACAGTTAATAAATATATTAAAATAAGAAATAATATATGCGAATAAATAATAGTTATATACTTTGTTTCTCATCTTTGAATGGCTCAACAGCCACAACAGAAATTAAAACTAGTGCACAAAGAAAGAACACAAAGATAAAAGGCTTGGTTTTCATCGTTGATCTACTATTAGTTTAAATATTGGTAAACATATATTCAATAAACCACTATATATAGCTATTATGATACTAGTTAAATTTAAGAGGCACAATAAGAAGTTGAGTATATGATATATTGTGTAGTAAGTAGTTGGCTTATTGTGAGAATTATGAGGCATCAACAACTATTGAGTGTTAACTTGGGACGTGCTTATCAAATGAGGTAAATTGTTTTTTTACATTACTAACAAGATGGTTATTGTTTTGCACAATGTTTTAATCTATTTTATACAAAACCATATAAATTTAATTTTAATAATTAAAATTATAGATAGCTCTAAGATGTTTTTAAATATTCATATTAAATTAAATAGTTGTAGTTATGTAGTTTCTCTCATTAAAATAATAATTCGAAATAAATAATGAAAAAAAAATAAGATGTTGTTCTTTTAAATTGGGAAGATATTCCTTCATCTATTAAATTAAACTGATTATAGTTATGTAATCACCTAGTGGAAACAACTTTGCCAATTTAATATTCTAAACATTAAATTAAAATAGATTATCTTTCACCTAATACATATTTCAAAAGGTAGTATTATGTCTGATCAAAAAAATGCAATATAAACAGAAGTTAAAGTAGTATATGAGTTTGATTTTTTTTTTTTTAAAAATGGAGGAAAGAGAACTATTATTAGTGACGATTATAGTCATTTTGTAATTGTTTCATATATATTTAAAGTTTGTTCTTTGAGGATATAAACAACTAGGTTTTTAAAGCGCTTTAATAGAGTGAAAAATGACATCGTTTTGCTAGCGGGCAAAAGACTATTTTTTTAATAAGCGCTTTATAAGGTTGGAAAATAAAGGAAGCCACTTTTTTTTTTTTAATAAAGTGTTGTTAAAAGTGAAAAATTTAAGAGCACTTTTAAAATGTGTTAGTCTTTTTAATAATTTTTTTTTAAAATACCAACGAATGATAATGCATTCCGAAAACATATTTTATAACAAAGACACATTCAACATATATCATATAATATTGCATTCATAAGGCAAATGGGGAAATTGAAAATGAGCTTATATTTGAAAAACAACTTGTTTACAAACTCTGATTCCTCCTCAACTTGTTGGCAAATTATGAGCACTACTTGAAAAAATTCTTTTTATTACCATTATTTCACCTCATATATTATAAAACTGAGATATATATCTTGTATGCGGCATGTTTTTTCTTAAAAAATTATATACTATATTCCATCGGTTTTATTGAAAATCAAGGGGTTTATTAAGTCAGCATATTCGGTTCGAATTCTTGTAACATTCGATTATGCTTTTTTGTCATTAAAAGTGACTTCTTATTGATTATTTTATTTTTAACATGAAAATAAGCCACTTTTCACTTCGGTTTTGTTTCTCAACCAAAGTGAATTTGTTTTTCTGATATATAAATCCTTAGGTTTTAGCATTCAATTTTACTTGTCTAAACCCTAACGAAGAGCCATGAACAAGAGAGCCAACAAGATAGTTATAAAAATATATCATCTTAAATATGAAGATGATATATATTTAGGGCTCTCGTTTCTTCTTCAGAGATTCTAAACCATTTTCTTTCGTTTCTTCTCCAGATATCTAGTTTTGCTTAGAGATTTTTTTTTTTGGTCTTTTTTTAATGTAAGTTGTTTTTTTAGTTGTTTAGTTGGTGTTATTGAGTTTGAATATTGATATTGATGTTTTTTATTGTTGTTCAAATTATGTTTTTTGCGCATATCTCATCTTGTTCTGTCTAGTTGAGTTTATTATATCTAATGTCTACTATTTATTTCACTAATCCTTCTTTGAACATATAACCTATTAAATTGATTATGAAAATAATTATATGAAAAACTATGTTGTATTTAAAATAACACTACTATAAAATGCGCAAACAACAACGTCAAAGTCATCAGAATTCTTTTAGACACCGCAGTGACATCTCTAAAATCAGGCGCTAATTTTTTATTTTATTTTTAATTATAAATTTTTAGGATATAATAATGGTTGACGATATAACCGTTATGATACAATCAAACTTTCATGGGTTCAAACCTCAACGCTCTCAAAAATTATATCCATTTAACGTTAAGACGCTCCTTTCTTACTTATTTATTTTAAAATAAAAAAATAAAAGAGATATCACTACGGTTGTTTTGTTCAACTGTTGTGATATAATTTTCTGTTATTTAAAATTTCATTACGGTTATTCTTGTCAACCATTATGAATTTTTTTTTAATATATAAATGAATGTATCTGTCACCCAGTTTATAACAGTCGTTTCTCTCTAAAGAAAACCCTAACTAAAAAACTCTTAACACAACCCTCTCCTCTAACGAATCTTAACCAATACTGTAACAAGGGAATGGCGAAAAAAATCTTAAAGGATATCTGATCGGAACAACGTCCGACGCAAATTCCTACAGCGATGAAGATGGTATGTTCTCTTTCTCTCTTCTTTCTACTCTTCTTTTGGATGATGTTGATGTTTAGAATTTAGGATTATTGTTTTAGGAATTGGTTTTAGGATGCTGTGGAAAAAATTTAGTGTATGTATTATGTAAATGAGTGTGTAACAATGTTATGTTATGTTCATGGAAAACATTACCCTGTTGATACTTTAAGGTTAAGTTTGAAGTTTGTTGTGTTTCCTTGCAGATACATGATGATGATGGCGGTAGTAAGAGTATGGTATGGTGATGGTACATATGGTTTTTGTTACTATGGAAAAAATATAAGAAGTATAAAATTATTGTATAAACTTCATCCACCTTATATTTCTTCTTCATAACATCACAAACTAGATGAACTTAATATATCTTGATTTGTTACAGTTCCATGATTATTTTCAATAAAAAGTGCGTTCAATGTATCTTGATTTGTTACAGTTTCACTCAATATTTCTTTGTGTTGTTGTTAGTGTTTTGTTACTGAAATGTATGTTATTTCTCAAAACAAGAACAAAACATTGTGAAGTCATAAGAAAAAGGCTTCTTGTGACATAGAAATGTTTTTTTCTTTAAATTGTTATACAGGTTGACAGTATTGAAGTTTAATTTATTATATACTGTGTATATAGTTTTTTAACTAACCTTTTAATGAAAATGCATTCATTTAAATTGACATAGAAACTTATTAACTGAAAATTAAGATTTATTTGAAAATCAACCTATATCAATCAATGTTTTTCGAATTGCATGTGTCTCATCATACATATTTTATGTTCTTTAATATATAGACATAGTTCAATGGTTCGATTCCTTCAATATATTGATATCTATAATTCTAGTTTACCTCGTCGTCGCTTATCATCATGATTGTTAAGATCATGATAGTTATGATGATAAGTAATCATAACAATCACGATGATAAGTGATGATGATGAGTTAAATAATAATAATAAAGTATATCGATGCAATGAAGGAATCCGGCCATTAAACCATAAATGTGTTTAAAAAACATAAAATGTGCGTGATGAGACACATGCAATTCAACATACACTGGTGTGTTTAAGTTGATTTTCAAGAATAGTTTAATTTTTAGATTATATAGTTCTTTATCAATTTTAATGGTTGTATTTCTTTAATGAGGTGTATGGTAAAACAAACAATATTCATTTACATAAAATAAACTATGGGTATGTTCTAAACATTTTTCTATAGTAACCATGATCTAATGTAATTTATTTGTTGCGCTAGGTTCGAGTTTCGAATCCAATACCTATATATATATATCACAATGGTTAGTAAGCATATGCGTTGTGATATCATGCACGCTTTCTAATATACTACAACGATCCCATGATCGTGATTCTTAGTAACAGATTTAAAATAACACTCTACACAACAACGCCTGAACCTGCGTGATTATATGTATTTTCCAACTGTTGTTAAATGGGTTTTTCGTAGTAGTGTATATCTTAGACTAATATTTTTATAGCATTATGTAAATCTCTCCAATACTTCTAGTTTTCATTCAACTTTCTTCTATAAAGAACTTGAAACATCGAAGAGATTTTAATTATAAAAGAGCATGAGGTGAATAATGAGTTAGAGAATGCTAGAAAAATATTGATTAGTATAAGTTATTATTCATATATAACATGATTATTCATATAATTATTTTCCTAATCAATTTTGAGAAGTTATATATTCAGTTAGAGTGAAATAAAAAATCTACATTAGATATTATAAAGTCAATCTTCATTTTATAATTTTGGAGTTGCACAGTTAGACATCACCTAGCATAAAAGTTATGTATATTTTAGTTATCATTAAAGTTAATATAAACCACTAGCTTTATTTGTGGTAATTTGGTTTACTTGTAATCAAGAGGAGTTTTGTTTGGCATCTTAGCTTATTTGGTTTACTTGAAGTACTTGGACTATAAACTAATAATATGAGACATGTAATGAAAGTATCATGTTCCTGCTCGAATTTTCTATGAGCTTTCTCATAATAAATAACTTATGTGACAATAGTTTGGATTCTCAAGTTGTTTACAGTGATTTCTAGTAAACAACCGCTAGTCTTCCAATTTATTGATTATTATTGGTTACTTGCAGGATCGACTAGATTGATCCTAGGACACATGTGTCATAACTCATTTCTATGTTCGTACCCATTATCTTGATGAATTTATATTGTATGTTAATGTCGAATGTGAGATTCTTAAGAAATATCTCTGAGATTGTCTATAGAAATAAACTGACTGAATGTACAAAGGAAAGGCTTCGAATTAGACTTAAGATTTAATACTTGAATGTAAAGATAAGGAGTTTATGAGAATATAACAGTTTCTGAAAATATGAAGTGTTTGAACAAAAGGATAAAGTAAAAGTGAAGTTTCTAAAGAGATAAATGTGTTTGAAAACAAGTAAAATAAGGAAATAAAAGGAAAACGAAAGATTTAAGAGCAAAAGTACTGTAAAAGTGAAAGAAATATAAAAAGACTTGTATTGAGATTATAAAGAATCATGATGTTCAAT